TTGTGACATGACATGTCTGTGTGATACATGTGCATACATGATGCTTCACGATTCTTCGCACTCTTAACTATTCCTCCTCTCGGTATACCTCCTTCCTCCTGCCTCAGCTCCTCCTGCCTCTCCCTCGCTTCCTCCTTATCCTCCTCCTCCTCCTCCTCCTCTCCCTCCTCCTCGTTCTCTTTCTCTCCTCCCCTCATCCTCTTCCTCCTCCTCCTGCTCCTCCTCCCTCCTCCTCCTCCCCTCCTTTCCTCCTCCTCTCCTCATCATCCTCCTCCTCCTCATCCGCCTCCTCCTCCTCATCCTCTCCTCCTCTTCGCCTCACATCCTCCCCTCCCTCCTCCACTTTTAATAACAAACTCATCTAAATTAAAACATCGAAAACAATAACGAAGGCCGAGCACCCCGCTCCTCTCCTCTCCTCCATTACCTTTCAGGCAATCACCCTTCCCAGAACACGTGGCGTCTCTCTCTACCGGTGCCTGCAGTTCCAGCGGTGCACGCGGCAAACTGATTGCTGCCACTCGGCAGGCGCGTACTTCGGCTCCTTCTCCTAATGCGACACCATCACCTCCGGGTTACCGCTGGCCCAGATCTATTATACAACACACGGCAAAATGTCCGACATTGCAGTCACGCCACAAACATGCAGGATAACTAGTAATTTTATAGTAAATATTAAGCTGCTGGTATATATTTAACTTAGCGTAATATAATATATATATATATAATATATGACATATAAAATGTTCGACACACGTCAGCATTGAGTGCTACGCACCGACGAGCGAGATGCAGCCGCAAAGCTAGCTAGTAATTTTATAAATTTGTTGGATTTTCGTAAATACTTAAGACTGCCTGATATATTTTGCTTCACTATATATCTATATATGCTCTATATATTTCATCTATATCACGCAGCGTAACACACACAAACACACACACACACAACCACACCAGCAACACACACAACACCCACACCACACACACCACACAACACACACACCACACACATACAGCACACACCACACACACACACACACACACACACCACACACACACACGACGCACGCCACGCACGCACGCCACCACACCACACACACACACACACAGCACACACGCACACACGCACACACACACACACACACACACACACACACACACACACACACACACACACACACACACCCACACACACACACACAACACCACGACGCCACGCGCCCTGCCGCTGCGCGGGGGGCCAAGCGCCCACCCTAATATAGTTAGGATATACTATATATATATATATATATATATACTATATATTAATTTCATTTGCTTAGAATATAATTAAAGATCTTCAATATCAAATATTAAATTACATTTATTCCAAACGCGCGATTAGTCTTCAGATCACTTTGTCATTAGTTCACCAATCTATCTACTAGCTAATTAATAATACTTAAAGCTTACTAAGAATTATATTAGATACGGCGTTAATTCAATCGTCCTTTATATTGCCTTAACACGTAATACGCACACCATGACTTCCTTATTCTACTAAATATAATTAGAAAGGAGGCGAGACACGCGAGGGCGCAGAGTCAAACCCAATCAACGAGTCTACGAAAACCCACCAAAATGTATGACGTAAAATAACACAGTAAAATGAGGCCAAAGGTTCGTAAGAAATGTCTAGCGTTTAAGCAGCAGAAGGCATATATTAATAGTAAATATTATGGTGAATTTATAGGTACGACTGTGTTAGACGTTCAAAGCGCCTAAGTAAATATTAAATTATTTAAATATATATCTAGTAGTTAAAGCCTAGAAATGATTCAGTGTCCAAGTCGTATTACCATTTATTTACAGAAATTTACTCACACATGTTGTTATAAACAAGCCATTGTTACGTAGAGCAGTCAAAATATTTTCTGTAAACTCTCTACCGATAAATTTATGGGTTTTAGCTTTAATAAAACACTAAAAAGCGTTTTAATAAAATATAATGAAATAACATGAATAAGGCTGCGAATAAACAAATGAAATGAAGCGAATGAATGGATGGATAAATAAACGAATAAATAAATAAATGTCTTAATAATTAAAATACAATAAAATAGCAAAACTCACCGTACAACAAATAAATAAAATACATGATTATAATAAAACCATGGCTAACACAAGCTTCACTTGGTGTAAGCGGCCCTGACGCGGGGATGATGTATTATCTATATTAGCGCCGGCTCCTGTGTGTAGGCACAGGCAGGCGCGCGCCATACAGCATTTACTGGGACGCTACTTACACCGCTATCCGGGGGCGTGTCTAATACCGGCGAGAAAATTACTCCCTGTATACTATCTACACACACGCTACTAGTCTATGGGCTGCGAGTGACATACCGCGGGTTACCCATATACGCGGATCGGCCCGCGCTATCCGCATTATAATTATACAGAATTATTTTGGAGGTTGTAAAATTTTAGTGTTTAGTAATGTGCGCCACTCTTTCTTTCCCTATATATATATAGGTATATATATTTATATAAATAAATAAAATAAACCTCTTAGATTAGATTTACGCAGTTCGTCGTTGGGGTTCTTCCTTATAAAAATATACTATTTGAGGCGGAATTCCCTCTTTGTATAAAATAAAATAAAAATATATTAAGCGAAATGTAATTAAATCCGCTACATGTAGAAATATTTAAACGAATTGAATTTCAGGGAAAACCTATTTGTGTTTAATGTTTCGTTGGTTATTCGGGATCGAATGTAATTATGTACAAACAAAATGGAATTTTCTTCTGTACGGGAGAGAGAATATATAGAAATAAAAGAGAGAGAGAGAGAGAAAGAGAGAGAGAGACGAGAGAGAGGAGAAGAAAAGAGAAACAGAAAGAGAGATGAGAGAGATGCAAGAGAGGAGAGACCGGCGCAGGCGAGAGAGAGAAAGAGAGCCGCGAAGCAGAGAGAACAAGAGGATGCATAAATAGAGAGAAGAGAGAGAGAGAGACGAGAGAGAGCAGAGAGCAGAAAGCACTACGGAGAGAGCGACAAGAGAGAAAGATCAGACGGACGACGAGCGAGAGAGAGTGTGTGAGAGAGCGAGAGAGTGTGGGTGTAGTGAGACAGAAGAGAGAGAAGACCGGAGAGCAGCAGAGAGAGAGAGACGCTGATGATAGCTAATTGAACCTACCTGTCGTTGGCGACCGATGAGACCAGCCGTACTGTCGTGTCGCACACTCACGCCCTGGCTGCCTCCCAACTGCTCCCATCTGTACGGCGGACTCACGAAACCTAACACAAGTCACCACACATCGCGGTCCCCGCGGCTATAAACATCGCCGTCAACCCTGCATGGCTAACACTACTCACTCTCTGTATTACCAAACACTTTCAACACACTATTCGCTGTATTAGCAACTACTATATTATTATATATCAATGATATATATTTTCAGTATAGTAAAATATAATTATATATATAATATAGCTATTAATCAGTTACTAGCCTATTTTGGGGCCGTCACCCTACACGCCACATACATTGTACAATATCCTTGTAAAATTCTAATGCATTTCAGCAGCTTGAATTTATTTCCTCCGTTATGCGTCTGTACGGACACTCTCCGTTGTTCGCCGTACACTGCAGCGCTGTTATGTCTCGGTCCCGCTCTGTTCTTATTGATGCCTGATGCTTGATTTTGCGTTAGTGACCATGCATAATTTATTACTAACTCGCGCCTGAAAAACACTTCGATCTCACGAATTTCTAGCGAAAATGTGGTGCGTGCGTGCGTGCGTGCGTGTGTGTGCGTGTATTTGAGCGAGAGCACCAGCGTGCGCGCGTGCGTACATACGTGCGTGCGTGCGTGTTTGTGTGTGCGTGTGTGCGTACATGCGTGCGTGCGCGTGTACGCGTATTTGCGCGAAAATACGTGCAATCGTGTTTGTGTTTGCGTGCATGCAGCTAGAAACGCGGGGCAAGATGAAAGTGCGTGCGTGTGCGTACATGCATGCGTGCGTGCGTACAAGCCAGCGTGCGTGCGTGTTTGTGCGTGCAGCGAGAGACGCCGGAGCAAAATAGACGTGTGTGAACAACAGAGTACGAGCGTGCGTGTGTGCGTGCGTGCGTGTTTGCGCGTGCGTGCGTGTATATGCAGCGAGAGCCCCGGAGCAAGATGGACGTACATATACCTGAATAGTGAATAATTAATGCTGCCTTCTGATCAGTAGGTAGTCGTGAGGCGGCGTTCGTCTACAGCATCTCGTCGGCAGGGGTCGTGCACTCCGTCACGCGCGCATGCAGCAAAGGTCACCTTCTCGACTGCGCATGCGACCCTTCCAAGGTCAGTAGAGGTCAATCGTGACGTGGTCGTTATCGTTGAGCAAAATAATCGAATCGGACGCGAGTTTCACACAGATGTATTATTATAGATTTTTATTTTGTTTCTGAGAATTAATTAGATCGAATCCCTTACACTAGGTTATTGCTTCTGCTGTATTGCGTGTTCGTGGTATATTGAGTGTGATTAGGTTATAATTGCACGCTCGCTGTTCAAACAAATTCCCGCTCTATTATCATAATAGCTTCGATATATTAGTGCGCGAATTATGTGTTTTTAGCCTCGCCCTAATTATTTAGCATATATTAGGGCCTAATATAAGAGTCGTATCTGTAGTACGCAGCCGACTCTTGTGTTTTTCTCGTGGTCAAAGCGTGTTGTAATTTAATATGCTTCAAGCGCGTGAAAAGCTCGTCTCTGTCGCCTTCCTGAGCCAAGCTTGAACACGCGTCAATATCTCGCAATAGTTTATACCCGCACTTAGTGCGAATAAGCGCGTATATTATTATTATTATTATTATTATTATTATTATTATTTATTTATATTTCACCTTTTTACATGAAATGACCAAAAGCGCAGCAGATCAATATCGCAAACGACTGAACAATAAAATGAAATGATAATAAATGTATACATGTGAGATATATTGCTACAACTGCGAGATAAAATGATATTAAAACAAAGTTAACTATGTATAATTACTGTATAGAATGTCTATAAGGGAGTTACACAGCTTGTTACTGAGGTACTACTACTAGTGATTAAACAACAGCATCTTCCGCAGATGGGACCGCACCGAGACCGTAAGGGAGAGTTCACGTGGGGAGGCTGCAGCGACAACGTGCGATACGGAAGCCAGTTCTCTCGCATCTTCATCGACGCCAAGGAGAAGAAGCAGAAGGATGCGAGAGCGTTGATGAATCTCCATAACAACCGCGCAGGCAGAAAGGTACAGCAGCGCCACCGCCTGGCGGTTCCCCCCCCCGTATACGCCTATATATTTGCAATATAATTTTACAACCTCCAAAATAATTCTGTATAATTATAATGCGGATAGCGAGGCCGATCCGCGGTATAATGGGTAACCCGCGGTATGTCACTGCAGCCCATAGACTAGTAGCGTGTGTGTAGTTAGTAATACAGGTAGTAATTTTCTGCCGGTATTAGACACGGGATAAGCGGTGTAAGTAGGCGTCAGTAATCTGTATGGCGCGCCAGCCTGCTGTGCCTCACACACAGGAGCCGGCATAATATACATAATACACATCCCCGCAGTCAGGGCCGCTTACACCAAGTGAAGCTATGTGTAGCCATGGTTTATTATAATCATGTATTTTATTTATTTGTTTACTGAGTTTGCTATTTATTTATTTAATTATTTAAACATTTATTTATTTATTCGTTTATTTATCTATCCATTCATTCCTTCATTCATTTATTTATTCGCACACTTATTCATTTATTTAATTATATATTTATTAAAACGCTTTTTAGTGTTTTTATTAAAGCTAAAACCATAAATTTATCGGTAGAGAGTTTACAAGAAAAAATATGACTGCTCTACGTAACAATGCTTGTTTATAACAAACATGTGTGATAATTTTCTAAATAAATGGTGATACGAATGGGCAACCTAATCATTTCTAGCTTTAACTACTAACGCTATATATTTAAATAATTATATTTACTTAGCGCTTTAACGTCTAACACAGTCAGTACACCTTAAATTCACCATAATTTATACCTATTAATATATGCCTTCTGCTGCTTAAACGCTAACAATTTCTTACAGACCTTTGCCTCATTTACTGTGTTATTTTACGTCATACATTTTGTGGGTTTTCCCGTAGATCGTTGATTGGGTTGATCTCTGGCGCCCTCGCGCTCTCGCTCCTTTCTAATTATATTTAGTAGAATAAGGAAGATCATGGTGTGCGTATACGTGTTAAGAATATAAAGGACGATTGAATTAACCGCCGTATACTAATATAATTATTACTAAGCTTTAAGTATTATTAATTACTAGTAGATAGATTGTGAACTAATGACTAAGTGACTCTGAAGACTAATCACGCGGTTTGGATTAAATTAATTTAATATTTGATATTTAAATCTTTAATTATATTCGAAGTAAAGAGATCGAGAGAGAGAGAGAGAGAGAGAGAGAGGCGAAGAGAGGAGAGAGAGAGAGAGAGAGAGAGAGAAGACGAGGAGAGAGAGAGAGGGAGAGAGAGAGAAGAGAGGAGAGAGAGAGGAGGGGGGGCAACAGCGACGGTGTAGGCCGTAAAGCAAGGCGTTCTCATGCGTCTCTACGCTGCTGCGCGGGGCGGGGGATGGCCGCAGGGAGGGAGGGAAGGTGCGCAAGAGAGTGAGAGAAAGCGAGAGAGAGAAAAGAGAGAGAAGGAGAGAGAGAGAGAGAGAGAGAGGAGAGAGAGAGAGAGAGAGAGAGAGAAAGAGAGAGATGAGAGAGAGAGAGAGGAGAGAGAGAAGAGGGGGGGGGGCAACAGCGACGTGTAGGCCGTAAAGCAAGGCGTTCTCATGCGTCTCCACGCTGCTGCACAAGTCTGAAGGTGGCGGGGAGGTGGCAGGGAGGGAGGAAAGGTACGCGGAGGGAGGGACGCGCGGGGGACGAGGAAGGCGTGCGGGGGAGGAGGAAGGTTCGGAGGGCGGGGAAGGCGCGCCGGGGGAAGGGCGCTGGGGGAATGGGGACGTGGGAGAGGAGGACGTGGTGGGAGGAGGTGTGGGAAGAGGAGGGACGTGTGGAGGAGCGTGGGGGGGGAGAGGAGGGGCATTGGGGGAGGAGGAGCGTGGGTCTCGAATGTTGCCGGATCGTAAAGTTAAGTTTTTTTTTAAATTTTTAAAGCGGGAGATCCGCGTAAACTACCAGCGTAAACTTCGCAAAATATCCGATTAGTTACAAAACTAATTTAAATTATAAAACTACTTTTTTACTCATTTAACACCGTCCTGCATTTTCGCGATATTAAATTTGCTGCGCAGTGCCCGCCTTTCCGCGCGCGAGCCCGCTCGACGTTCTCGCGAGATCTCGCGGCCGCCATTATTACCTGGTTGCTCATCACCTGCGTGGCGCTGAGATATTTCTTCTTGAGAGAACTGACCAACTATCTCTGAAGTCCAGCATGGCTCGCGCAGCATGTGCTGATAGTGGCAGGCCCCGCCTGACGCCATGACACTTACACTCCAGGTTGGTGTGGCTTCTGCAACTCGCCTGCCAAAAACACAAGCAAGAAAGATGCATATGTATTGGCTTAGTGCGAATACACCGACCAGGCTCACGCGACTGTTACACGACTGCCAACGTAGTGTTAAGCGAGAAAGGAACTTGTGGCTAAGTGGAAAGTACTACTCAGTGCTTAGTGCTTTCGCTTAGTCGAAGTTATTTTAACCGCCTGCCACAAACAGAGAGGTAACTACATGTAGGACTTCGGCTTAGTGCGAATGTACTGCATAGTGCGAATGTATTGTTTAGTGCGAATGTACTGCTTAGTGCTTAGTGCCTTTGTTTAGTCGAAATTCATTTTTTTATACATCGGCTTCCTTATTAAAAATTAAAAATTAAATTTAGAAAGAACGTCACGCTACGTACGAACTGAAGCGCTTTATATAAGTTATCTCTCTCTCTAATCCATCAAGAGTCCATAATAGAGAGAGACACACACACACGCACACGGCACCCCCCCACCCACACACACACATCAATATATTGCAAATGATATAGGCGTATACGGGGGGGGGAACGCGCAGCGGTGGCGCTGCTGTACCTTTCTGCCTGCGCGTTGTTATGGAGATTCATCCAACGCTCTCGCGAATCCTTCTGCTTCTTTCTCCTTGGCGTCGATGAAGATGCGAGAGAACTGGCTTCCGTATCGCACGCGTTGTCACTGCAGCCTCCCCACGTGAACTCTCCCTTACGGTCGCCGGTGCGGTCCCATCTGCGGAAGATGCCTGTTGTTTAATCAGCTAGTAGTAGTACCTCAGTAACAAGCTGTGTAACTCCCTTATAGACATTCTGTACAGTGATTATACATAGTTAACTTTGTTTTAATATCATTTTATCTCGCAGTTGTAGCAATATATATCACATGTATACGTTTATTAGGCATTTCATTTATTGTTCAGTCGTTTGCGATATTGATTCTGCTGGCGCTTTTGGTCATTTCATGTAAAAAGGTGCTATATAAATAAATAAAATAATAATAATAATAATAATAAATAATAATATACGCGCTTATTCGCACTAAGTGCGGGTATAAACTATGCGAGATATTGACGGCGTGTTCAAGCTTGGCTCAGGAAGGCGACAGAGACGAGTTTTTCACGCGCTTGAAGGCATATTAAATTACAACACGCTTTGACCACGAGAAAAACACAAGAGTCGGCTGCGTACTACAGATACGACTCTTAATATTTAGGCGAGGCTAAAAACACATCCATTCGAGCGACTAATTCATCGGAAGCTATTATGATAATAGAGCGGGAATTTGTCCGAGATAATCACATGTTTGAACAGCGGCCGCGTGCCAATTATAACCTAATCACACTGCAATATACCACGCAACGACAATACAGCAGAAGCAATAACCTAGTGTAAGGATTCGATCTAATTAATCTCAGAAACAAATAAAAATCTATAATAATACAACTGTGTGAAACTCGCGTCCAATTGGATTATTGTGCTCACAACGATAACGACCACGTTACGATTGACCTCTACTGACGCTTGGAAGGGTCGCATGCGCAGTGAGAAGGTGACGCTTTGCTGCATGCGCGCGTGACGGGGTGCACGCCATGCCGACAGAGATGCTGTAG